TGACTAGTGTCACGCCACCTGCTTTCTAGAACTATCCCGTTCCTTCGGAAGTGCTCTAGCATTTACTAGATTGGGGGGTGGTCTGGTATATATAAGATGGTCACGGCGTGACGTGACAGTGAATGTGTGTGTGTAGGTAGTGAGTAATTGAACTGCAGTCAGGAAGTATAGTTGAAGTTAACGTTCGTTGTTAAAACGTTTGTAAAAGAGCAACTGTTGAAAATAAGTGTATCGGTAAAGTTATATTCATAAAGAATAAACCAGTTTTATTTAGTAAGGACTTGTGTCGCTAAAGTTTCGTCGGAACGAAGTTACGGAAAATCAATTAACAAACGGAGACGTACCAATATTTAAAACAGTTTTGTTGTTGTTGTTGTGTTTTGTTTTGGATTGGAATAGCAGAATTTTACACAACTTAAGAGATCTTCATAAGGCTTAACACAGTTTTCAATTCCCCTTAATTTATCCACTACTGTTGTTATTATGAATCAGTGAGTATCCCATAGAAATTGGAGGTTTCTGCCATATTTTCTAAATAATTTCAATTAACTTAACAGTCCAAGCAATTTGTACATGTATCTCTTGTATAAAGTTGCTGTTGTTCTCGTGCTTGCCTTAAGTAACAAGATTTAAAGTGTTATTGTAGCATTTGTTCACGTCAAGAGTGAGGGGATTTAGTTTAGCTATGGGTCCACTATTAAAGTGATCTTGAAAGTGAAGTGATGAAATTCATGTAAGATCTTGGATTTCACATAAAGTATTTAATTAGTTTAATGGAGCACAATATTTGGCTTAACTTAGGATACGTTTTCAGCTAATATTTTCTTTTCCTTTATCTAAATCAGGGGAATCTATACACATTGGTAAGAACTTCTGTTTTCTATTAAACTATTCTTCAACTCTTGTCAGCCATACATTCATCTAAATATGATCACTTGCCTTATAGTTTATTGTACCATTGTGTGTATTGTTAATTGTGAAGTTGGTATTAAACATTTATTCTTTGTATAAATTTGTGTCTGACTCTGACCTCATTATTTGCAACCTACCTGTTTCAACGTATTGGGAAATCTACACACAAGCCCAAGATCCAAGAATCTCCATTTGTCAGCGTACCTAACATCTCTGCTCTCTTGGTTATCCAAGGAATACCACACGTTACTAATCTTTTGCTGTTCTAAGAAGAGGTTATTACTTAGTTGATGAAGGTAAAGAAGTGGATTTGGTATAACTGGATTTTCAGGAAGCAGTTGACAAGGTACCAAGTAAAAAGCTTTTACTGGGTTCTACAATGCCATTCTTTGGCATATAAGATATTTCTTTACGTATTTTATCGGCCTTGATTGGATTCACCCGATAAGAGTTTTGTTTCACAGGGAAAGCATCACCTATGTCTACATCATG